TCCTCACACCCCCCCCCCCCACCCCCCCCTTTCTCTGCCGACCTGAATTCCTCCTCTTCTTCAGGTTCTGAGTGGGTCGACCCCGAGGACCCGACCGTGATCGCAGAGAACGAGCTGCTCGGTGCAGCGGCGTCCATCGAAGCAGCAGCTAAGAAACTGGAGCAGCTCAAACCCCGAGCAAAACCGAAGGTGAGGGACGCCCTGTTTCTTTTTGTACTTTACTAGAATATTCTACAGATTTGAACTCATCTTCAGTTAATTAAGAAATTCAACTAACTCCGGGCAAAAAGTAAATTGTATATATTTTTTTACAGCATTGACAAACTGTGTTGTACAAAGTTAAAGGGCTGTTTAATATTTTCCTCCCTGTCAATACATTTGACATGACTGTCCCAGACAGGCTGCTCTGTGTCTCCCCCTTGTTTTTGTCCCTTTTTTCACATATTTTGAGTCTCTGACGTTCATATTTAAATGTTTTGATTTTTTTTTTCCTGCTGTACATTTGAGGAACACTCCATTATTTCTCACGTCACATCCTTCCATACAACAACACGTTTCCTCCAAATCCTACTGTACTTCCATCTGTGTGAGTTGAAGCTAAAACCTTGTCTGTCCTCTGTTTCCTGGTTAAACCCCTCATCCCCTCCTCCCCCCTTTTCACCCCCCTCTCCCCCCACCAGTGGAGGCCTTCTCTGCAGGGCTCTGTCTGATATGTTTGATATATTAGGTTGTTATTCAGTCCCAACTATATATCAAACATATTCCTACAGTGTCCCGCTCTGTCTACAGACTTGTGGCGTGAATGTACTTGTGTTGAAAAGGCTGTTTGAATTTATGTGTGTGTGTGTTGTTGTTGTGTGTGTGAGACGTGCAGGACTGACAAATAATATCCCTGCAGAGTCTTGTTTGCTTCCTTTCTCGTGTCTCATCTAATATCAGCTGTGATTGTCTTGTTATTTTGTCTGTGGGTTTTGAGATTGTGTCCGGCTGTAAAGGAAAAAAAAAAAAGATTCTACTGCCAACAGAGGAAGAAAGGATCTCATACTTTGATCCGTGCCAAGAACGTAACTGAAGCCAGAGTCTCACTCACTGCTTCAAATTACTGGTTGGTGGACAGCTCCTGGTGCTGAAACCCTGCAGAGTTCACTACTGACGGCATCAAATTAGGACGGATGTCTGCTTTACATACTTCTTCTTCTTTTTCTTTGGGCTTTGTCCCTTTTTTTTCAGCAGTTGCTGCAGCAAATGATTGATTTCCATCTGCCCCTGTTCTCTGCATCTTCTACTCTGACTCCAACTATCTGCATGTCCTCCCTCATTGCATCCATATATCTCCTCTTTGGTCTTCCTCTTTCTCCTACCTGGTAGCTCCATCTCTAACATTCTTCTACCAATGTATCCACTGTCCCTCCTCTGCACATGTCCAAACCATCTCAANNNCCCAGAACTGCCCTTACTTCCTTCCTGAAGTCTTCACAAAATGTCTCTTTCCTTAGTTTCCACCACCTGATCTTCTGCTCTGTATACAAGAATTTAATCTAGGTCATTCATTAACCACAAGTACGACAGGCTTTGTACTTCTAAATGCTGAGTGTAAAAAGTGTCACCTCCCGCTGTGTTGGATTTATTACAGTTAAATTCACTGCTCTTTCAGGCAAAGGTTAAAAAAAGGTTCATGTTAGTGGTTTATAAACACAGACCTGACTGATTGATCTCCCCCTCCCTTCCCTCCTCCCCCCATAGCTAGCAGATGAGACTCTGAACTTTGAGGAGCAGATCTTGGAGGCAGCCAAGTCCATCGCTGCAGCCACCAGCGCTCTGGTCAAATCGGCGTCTGCTGCTCAGAGAGAGCTGGTGGCCCAGGGTAAAGTGGGCTCCATCCCTGCTAACGCTGTGGACGATGGACAGTGGTCCCAGGGACTCATCTCTGCAGTGAGTATCTGAAGGTTATCAACCTCAGGTCAAAGTCTGGGGCAACCTCCTCTGATTCCACTTTTTCCACCAGGCTCGTATGGTGGCGGCAGCGACCAGCAATCTTTGTGAAGCCGCCAACGCCTCGGTGCAGGGCCACGCCAGTGAGGAGAAGCTCATCTCTTCTGCCAAACAGGTGGCAGCGTCCACAGCTCAGCTGCTGGTGGCCTGCAAGGTGAAAGCTGACCAGGACTCCGAGGCCATGAGGAGACTTCAGGTAGAGTTGTCCATGAATTCAAAAAAAAAAAGATCTTAAACAACAGGAAGGTGTGACTTCACACAAAGTCTTGTTGTGGTGTTTTCAGATTGCAGGAAATGCTGTGAAGAAAGCCTCAGACAACTTGGTGAGGGCGGCCCAGAAGGCAGCTTTTGACAAGGCAGATGAAGACAACGTGGTGGTGAAGACCAAGTTTGTTGGTGGAATAGCACAGGTTAGGAGGTTATTATTTTGATTCTAAAATATACTTTTACTTATGACTGTGATTATGAAGTCCAGGGTCAGAGTGGCCTGAGGGTCAAAGTTCATTTTCCAGAGTAAAAGAGTGTTAATTTTGAATGGATCTAAATACTTTATTATGAAACAAACAATGAATAAATTAATCTGTGACAGTTTTTCCATTCAAATGTAAACATTTGTAAAATGTAAAAATTTGAAATGACTAGACTATTTTTACACACAATGAACATTTTTCAACAAATTAACTTAAGGATTGAGTCAGAAAAACTAAATATAAACCTGTTAGAAACACACTTTCTAAACACGTTTAGTCTCTTTATTAATTACTGCCAGGTAAATGTAGAAATATTAGGCTCTCAAAACAACCAATCTTTTCAATCCAACGTAGATACTATCAAGTAAGTTAGACCCTGAAATGATTGATTTCTTCAGTTATTTTTTGTTGTACTAAAACATGTGTGTCTGTTCAGATCATTGCGGCTCAGGAGGAGATGCTGAGGAAGGAGAGGGAGCTGGAGGACGCCAGGAGGAAACTGGCTCAGATCAGACAGCAGCAGTACAAGTTCCTGCCCAGCGAGCTGCGAGAAGACAACAACTGAGGTTCAACCTGAGGTTCACTGCTGCGTTCACGCCGAGCAGTGTGAAAAGCACACGTGCTGAATGTGCATGTATGTTTGAATATTTGTCTCCTTCATCACGGCACATCCTCTCGTCTCTCACAGTGACTTCAGACACAGTTACATTCACTTCTTACCTGGACTCCTGTCTGCAGCCGACGTCTCTCGAACACTAGGACTGAAGAAGAACTGTTACTTTATGTTTCTTTTCTCTTTTTTTCATTTTTTTTTTCATTTGAAACACAGCAGTTTTGAATGATGTAATCTGAACAGAATGTGACGTGCTGAGCACCGACAGAACCACTCATACACTCATGTTTGTCCATACGCTGCAGCTGTAAAATCTTCACAGTCAGTTCATCACCTTTTCACCAGAATTAATCGAGAATTCAACTGCAATATCACCTCCAAGGCTTCAATGATACAGGTCAAAACACTCATCCTTAGTCTTCTCTGGTCTCACATGAAGGAACGGTTGTGGTTTTGTTACTTTTTTGGTCAGATTTACTGTGAATCCTCTGGGAGAATGAACTCAAACCATGTGAATGCTTTTACCTCACTGGACGACTTATTGCCATAGAAGGTATATTCATTACTCTTGGGTATTTTTAGCAGGGGGACGTGGGGGGGGGTCCTTCAGGGGCCCCCACCATGAGCACAGCCCGTGGTGGCCTTCAGCCAGATTATCTTTCCCAATTCTGCAGTTTTAAATTCCCATCCAGTGTGACATTCAGAGCTGTTAGGCAGTGAGTTGAATGTGATTAAGTTGCAATACTGTAAATGCGTCTTAAGGGGGCAGCATTGGATTCTATTAAACCTTGCGAATATTACAGACGTAGTATAGAAGCTTATCAATAAATATGTTGTGAATTAGTTGCACAAAGTCACTTCATCTGAAGTCTTAGTCAAAACTGTTGGCTCGCTGCAGGAAGTGGTCGTCGACGTTCAACGTTTCTAGCAATATTGAACCACTGCCAGGGATTCATCAGCTCCACTTTTGTAAATCTGACAGATAACTTGGCAATAAAAGTTTTATTACTGAATAAAGCAACAATGGATTTTAAATGAATTAGTGAATAACAAGTGAAGTGAGTGCAGTCGTGCAGTCCTGTCTGTGTGACTTCACCTAACACTGAAGAACTTTGTCTTTGTTTATCCAGTTTGATTGACGTGTGTTTGGTTCCAGTGACTTACTATAGACTGTTATTAAAGGACACCTTTGTTGTATCTGCAAAACCCTGGGTCCTGCTGTCCAAATGCATGGCTTTGTGCTTCAGCTGCAGCTCCAGTTTACACGGTGACAGAGCAGAAGTGTTCAGAATTAGGATGCACTGAGTGACTCTGACCGTGAACACACAGCCAACAGTGACAGGAAGCTGACGACTGACTGAATTCACAAGTGTTTTCTGCCTTTATGTTTAATGTCTGTGGGGGGGGTAGGACACAGGTGGGGGTGGGGGGGGGGGACCACAGCTCATCAGTCTGTAGTCTGTAGTGATTCTGAATAGTGCCTTAGTCTGTAGCCCATACTGTGTCTGGTCTGCCTGAGTTTACAGCTTCACCTCGTAGGTCAACAAACGACGGGATTGGTCGAGACGTTGGTGTTTGACTGCGGCTCCATGTCTGTGGACGTTGATCATACTTTATTTTTCTATTAGTCTCCCTGTCGTGTATGAAGCCAGAGGAGCGACGGGACAAAAATGTGTCTTCACACTCTGTGTATTTTATATATACAGTACATTTACGAACACATTTTTGTACGGCCTGACGTTGACTTGTACTACAGTACTACAGCAGGCAGCAGTTCTGAGGACTGTCGTCTGCTTGGAAGTACTTTTAAAGGTTTTGCCCCCCCCCCTCTGTGCTTTTGAACCTCTGTGGAAAGATAAATGTGATCGGAGCAGTCGATTGTATCTGTCACCGTTAAGACGTTGTTGTGGAGTGTTTGAAGTGTTCTGTACCTCTCTCTACCCCCGAGCCGGAAAATAAAAAAATGATGAAGTTGCGACAGTTTAAGATAAGTGATAAGATGCAGCATAAGAAATATTTATCTGGCTTCAATAAAACTATTTTTTGTATTCACTGAAAGTAAAACCTTCAAGGTGTGTCTGCTTTTTTTTTTTTTTTGTGGTGTGCTCATTTCTATATCACAAATTATGAGATTTGAGTTAATTTCCTGTGTTTTACCATATTGCCCTCTTGGCCACTGACAGGGACCACAGGGTTTTTTATAATCCTCCCTTTTTTCCCTCCAAAGGACTTAAACAATAAACACACAATGAATTAAGATTTAAATAATTTGTACCATGGACATTAGAACGAAATTCAATGTAAATATATACATTATAATCCACCTTAAAATATATATATTTTAAGGTGGATTATATATATTTACATTGAATTTCGTTCTAATGTCCATGGTACAAATTATTTAAATCTTAATTCATTGTGTGTTTATTGTTTAAGTCCTTTGGAGGGAAAAAAGGGAGGATTATAAAAAACCCTGTGGTGATTTTCCCAGACAGGACTGACACAGAGCCAGTGAGAGCGGTGCTGACACACAGAGAGGTGAGTTCTGGCAGACGAACACTTCAGTCTAAGTCTCTGTGTGTGTCAGTCCAGTGTCAGGAAAGCGTTGGTATTTCTGAGTCAGCACCAAACCTGAGTCTATACTGAGTCCAGCCTCTGAACTCAGACCTGCGCTAAATTTGTCTGGCACTAAAATTTGAGGAGGCAATGTCAATGACAGTGGCCCAGCTGCTGCAGCGCTGCTTTTAAACCTGGATTCATTTTCCTGCATTTTCTCATGGAGAGGGTTTTTTAAAAAAGATTACACTGATTTTATATTTGACTTTTGACTAAATCTATCTCTTTATTTACCCAGACACCTCAGTGGAGAGTGGACGCCAGCAAGAACAAAGAACAACAGGGTGCACAAACTTCTGGTTAGTGTTCAGATCATCCATCATTTTGATGTCCAAAATCTAATAACTAAAAACAACATCACAACAATGATTAACAAGACACAGGGATACAGTATAAGATCTGAAATTCTCACTGATGACACAGGAAGGAAAGTCTCTTTATGCCTTATTTCAAGGGTTTCCCAACTCCCGGCTCGGGGACCACTTCTGTCTAAATGTCAATACTTATTAAATTTGACCTTTGAGGTCATTTCTAAACGGTATATTTTAAGTCACCATTTAAGTAGAAAATAGTTGTACTAAAGCTTTTGGGATGTACTGTAGTATTATACAGTATTTTTATTATATAAAAACTACTTTTTCTCCAGCAGTGACTCTCAGTTCTATTTAGGTTGAGCCTTTTTTGCCTTTCACCCACTTTGACTACTTGACTATTTGCAGAGTATTTACTGTTGTGACTTACACATTTTTTAAAATATTTTGTTTTCCATGACCTTATGTTTGTGCTGTGTTTTTATCTGAACTGTTAAACACAGCGTGGGAGAAGGTTAGTGTCACAAAGACAGGCTGCAGCACCAACATCATTCCTCATCCGTGCTCCTGGAACTGAGGAGGAAGTGAGAGATTCCAGCCGGGCCTCGAACAGTGAAATCACCATCGTGCTCCTCTCCATCTCTGCTCCAATAACTGCAGCTTTAAATCAAACTCTGAGTTTTGACTGAACTGTCAAACACAATGTTGAAAACCTTTGGTTCAACTCATCGTAGTATTAATGTTTAAAAGGACAGACTGTGATAAGACTCTGAGACACTGCACAGAAACAAAAGAGTGGGTTCAGATTTATGACTTTCTCACAATAACAGGAAAAAAAATGTAATATTTCACACAGAGCCGCCGCCTCATTATTGTCAGAGTGCCAAATCATTCCTGACATGACAGGAATAGTGGGAATAAACTGAGTTGTTTTAATTGTAGCATAAATCTTCAGCAGCATAATCTCATCATCACAACCAGAGGAACGCTCAGAGACTGAGACTCTCTGCCAAGGCCACTCCATGTCCCCCACCATCTGTACGTTCTCATGTCTTACTGGGTAAAAAACTGAGAGACTAGAGATTCAACACCAATTATTACACACTGTGTTTCACTTAGTTTGTAACTTTAACGCATAAAATGTAAAAGCCAGAATAAAGCGACACTCATTACATACGACATTTTCTAAATTATGCTAACGTGATATATTGCTATAAATGTTTTCGGTTGACATTGGCTGACACATAATTTAGATCATTTCTAATCTGTAATAATGTAATTATTCAATAGATAAATTAAATGGCCAGATGAACTTATATGTGTCTAACCACATATATTTTGATCCAGGGAAACAATTTTGAGGCACTGTTCACCAGAATTTAGCCATTTACACAAACTGCACCTTTAATTTATTATTTCCTTTCCTTCATATTTTTGGTGGTTTCCTGCTGGTACAGAATAACACTTTTTAATCTGTCCAGCAGGTTGGTTTGATCTCAAATGGTAACAAAGTAGAAGAAGATTATAGCATGGTTGATGTTCACGTGTTAGAGATTCATAAATGTACTGTATGATGTTAAATCACAGCTTCATGTCCAACTGATCATCATTATTGATAATGATTATTGTCCAGCTCCAGTGTGTTCATCAATAATGATTATTGTCCAGCTCCAGTGTGATAATGACCATGTCTCACTTCACTCCGCTCTGAGCCGCTGTGATCTCCACGTATGAGTGGAATGTCTGACTGGCTGCTGGACAGCCCACAAAACACATGGTGGGATGACAACACAGTGACAGCTGACGGCTTTAAAAAAAGGATCACAGGAACACAGGGTTTCAGGCCGGACCACCACAGGGGCAAAAGGTGTGAAATTAAAT